TAAATACTTCTCTACAAGTTAGGTTCCTCTTCGTGCTCGGGATGTAGTACCATGGGCTGTTGTTAGCGCCCCGAGCCAATCGCATTGTCAGCAAGAGGACATGGTCATGTTTCCCTCGTGTCATGGCTATATCGCCTAGTCAGAGAGGGATACCACCTTGACACTCCTGAACACGGTCATGTTACCAGTCCAGCCAGGGACACAACTATGTCGACACAACCTACCCCCGATAGAATTCACCCCCGAGCATCCTCCAATTGTTCCTTCCAAGCCCGAGCAACGCCAACCAGCACTTATGGCTCAACGAACATATATTATGGTACATTGCAACATGACTAGTAGCTCTACTAGTAACAAAGCCGATCACATGTGTAGAAAATTCTAGACCCACCTACTACTTTCAAGCTGTGAAGAGCCCTGAATGGCAAACAACGATGGACCAAGAGTTCAAGGCCCTACTGCACAACACTTGGAAGTTAGTTCCACTAACAAAATATGAATATGATAGGATGCAAGTGGGTGTGGTGTTCCTAGTCAATTGAAAAATTGATGGATCAATTCAACATTACAAGGCTCGACTTGCTCCCAAAGGGTCCAATCAAGTTGAAGGAGAAAATTACTTTGACATTTTCAGTCCAGTGTTCAAATCAACTACTGTAAGACTTCTTTTATCTTTTGCTATAACTATACATTGGTCCATTCGTTAGTTTGATATTCATAATGCGTTCCTAAATGGATGCCTAAGTGAGAAAATTTTTATGAAGCAACCACCAGGGTATATAAACAAAGACTTTCCTACTCATGTTTGAAAACTGTAGAAGTTACTATATGCTTGAAACATGTACCTCGTGCGTGGTTCAAACATCATGATTGCTTACTTTCAATCGGTTCCAAGGCATCAAAAGTTTATGTGTCTCTGTTTATATATTCAGATGTTAACACTCAGATTTATTTATTAATTTATGTTGATGATATACTAATAATATGCAACAACAAAAACCTCTTGATCTCAATTACAAACAGGCTAGCTGATGTTTTTAAAATCAGAGATATGATGCCATTGAGCTTCTTTATAGATACAGAAAGAAACAGTTAACAACGAGGGGGTGATGATCTTGTCTCGCAAAAGGTATATAAAGTCAGGAATGGTTCGGAACACTATAAACCAATCTCAACTCCAATTCCAGCTAATAGTAAGTTAAGTACAACATCCACAACTCAACCATATAAAAGTCCTACAAAATATCGTATCTCTATAAATATGTCATTTCTTATACTTTAGAAACACGATTGATCAATAATAAAACTCTTTGTAAATATTATTGTTCTCAATTTCTCATCTGTGCCACTTGAGATTTCTCTCTTTTTCTCTCTCTTATTTTTCACATCTTAATGGGGTAATAAAACTATTTATGAATTGATTGGCACCCACAATAAGTTTAAATAAAATTACTTATTAATCAAATAAAAAAATCAATCAAATAATTAATGATGTCACATAAAATAAAGTGAATATTAGGAGAGTAACATAGAATCACACTTTTGATTATTTTAACATGGTGCATGAGCATAAAATCTCAAATGGTTATTAGATGTAGTGGATAATAAGCACCATTAATTGGCATTAGATGTATGATGGGAATTATTGAGCAACTTTATTACTTTTGACCAGCCTTAATCATTGCGAACATCCTCTCAAAGAGAAAGAATATTCCCATATCTGGTTAATTAACTGCACCCACAATTCCATTTTGTTTCATGGATAAAAGTAATTTTGCTTTTTGAATATTAACTTGAATGATTTAATTTTTTTTTTTTACATCCAAAAGGACCAAAACCAAAAGTGATAGAGATTAAATATGCAACATTTTATTTAGATTCATAGAAAAAATTACAAATTTTCTGATAAATAATATATTATAGATATTTTGGACAAGATAAATTTAATTATATAACCAAAATGTGCTACATTAACCTAGATTTAAAGAATCTCGGACACTCTTTCCATGACTCCACGTGAGCTGCCTTTTGAGGTTAAGCTCAAATGCTCAGTACAAGATTTTGTTCATTTAATTATTATTAGTCACAACTTTTTAAATTTTAAATTTTTGTTATTTTTATCAGAAAAAACTCGCAATCACTACTTGAGAGTATGCATTAGGTAAATTTATATTTCGTAAATTATTCAAGAAAAAGTAAACTACGCTAGAAAATGCATGTGCGACAAACTCGACCAAAAGGATATTGATAAGAATCATACTCATAACTTTTAAGTACGAGAATTATGATCTACCTACTCGAACATTTTTTTAGCATCCCCCAACTAATATATATTTGAGAAGTAGACAAGAAAGAAAGAATGTATGGGAGCAGGTACTACTCCAATCACTCACATGCATCAGCACATGAATGTATCTAGAGATACGTAGATTTTGTTTTATTGTTAGACAACATTTATAAAATGCCATTTTTATTTATAAATATATAAAGCAATTGGAATATTTAAGTGATGATTAAATGTGTACATTTAAAAAAAAAAATTGAAATATGATTTTTAGTATTTTAAAAATAAATTATAAATATCATAATCCTTATTTATTGTTTAATGTAATTTTATTTCTTTTCCAAAAAAATATAAATTTTATTTTGGTACTATATTAATATAGGTTTAATCCATATTAATATTAGTAGTCCATGATATTCGTGGTTGCCATTCCGATTTCCGATTCCCCACATTCTGAAAATCTGAAAAAAGAAGAGACAAGCAATGCGCCACTAAAACTTACCTAACTTTATTATAAATGTATTATTTTCATGCTTTTTCATTCTTCTATAACGCAATTAGATGTCATCGCACATACACACACGAAACTCGAGAATGGAATTACAGTCTGTCTCAAGCTAAGCCACCACCATAAATAATAATAATAATAATAATAATAATAATAATAATAATAAGTCAGCATGATAAGCTCAACTGGCCATAGAGATGAAATTTTAAAAGAATGACCAGGGATCGAGTCTCACCAGCGGTAGTGTGGGAGCAACCTCATAGTTCATATTCAGTTGAGTCATAATAACAGCGGCAGAGTGGGAGCAACCTCTCAGAGTGACCTCTGTGGTTCATGTTCAGTTGCGTTACCATGATTTACATCCTCCCAAATGCTGACCTCTGTGGTTCATGTTCAGTTGCGTTACCATGATTTACATCCTCCCAAATGCTCTGTCGAGTCGGGGTGTTAGTCTGAGCATGAGTGTATTAGGTCTCTATTTGTTCCATGCTACTGTAAGTCTTCATTGTGTATATAATTGTTGTATTCTGTGACTTTTGTAACTAATCCAGAATTTAACGTTATCATCTGGTATATATAAGTTGTCTAGGATTTTTTATGGCTGTTCAATCTACAACTGTCGACGACTCTGTTAGTTCCTCTAAACAAACTGTCTTAGCTAGGTCAGTTGGGTGTTTGAAAGTATGTGAGTTAGTTGAGAAAGATCTTGCAATTTACTTCATTCACTCATCTCATACTTTTGAGAAGTTTTAAAATAGGAGTTTAAACTTAATATTATTGTATAACTTTAGAAGGACTGGCTGAGTGGGTCTTCCTAGTGCATTTATTAGCCACCGAGACCAAACGTACAAGTATGTATTTGAGGGTGTTTGACAGATGGGATCTAGGGGATTGGGGTGCATCTTTAATATTGTATACATACTACCCTTCACCTCATTCTGCCCCTTAAATTAGTTGTAATCATTTTTTCATGGTCCACACAACTGTATGGATCATTAAAAAAGAAGAAGACATTTTTAATATATTAAAAATACATTATTTGTGTACGTTAAGTACATTATTTGAGTATTAAAATATATTATTTTATATATTATCAAATAATGTATATTCAGTACACAATTAATAAACTTTTAGTATATTAAAAATGTATTTTGTATTCATGTTTCGGAAAAAAATTTATCCCATAGCTTTCTCTTAACCTAAAATGTATAACATTAAATTCTATTTTTGGTCCACAAAAAAAAAAAAAATTATTTCATTATACAATATACAATGTTGCCATTCTCATGTAATAAAACATCACAAATAATCTTACTTTCCCACATTATCTTTCTTCAGATAAAGGTTAAAAGGTTAAAAAAAAAATGATATGCTTTTTAAGTTTAGGCAAAAAAAAAAAAAAAAAAAAAAAACAACGTAATTTTTCTTTAACTTTTCTTAAAACCTGTTTCTATCGTACTAAACCGACAACTTTGTTGACATGTAGGAGTTAAAAAGTAAACAAATAACCAACGACGACGTTAATTAGAGTTAGAGCATTACTACTTCAACCTAGTTTTAGGGCTGTAATTAATTAGTGTATACATGTATCCTATAATGTGACAAGTAAAATATATAAAGAGATCAGAGTACTTTCAATTATATATTCTAGCTACTTCTCTTTAGAAAAGTAAACAAATAAAAGTTAAAACATGGTTGTATTCAAGCTAGCTCTCTTTGGACATGTAAACAAATAAAAGTTAAAACATGGTTCTCCGAATTGAATATCACATGCACTATTGAATTTTTCTGATCCATTGATCATAACTGATAAAAGATTACAAAAAGATAAATTAAGGCTAAGTTATCTATAACTGACTGATTCAAATAAAAAATGTCAATAAATAGCTCACACCGGAAATTGAACTTGAAACGACATTGTTACTGAACCAACAATCTAACCAACTTACTGGTTGCCCCCATTATTGAATATTTTTAAGGTATATTTTGAGTAAAATTGTTTTATGACTCTAGCCAATAAAAGATTACAAAGAGGTAACATTAACCTAAGTTGCTTATAGTTGAACGGATCAAATAAAAAAGACCCATAAACAGCTCGTGCTGAAAATTAAACTTGAAATGAAATTATATAGTTACCAAACCAACAACCCGATCTACTTGACTGGTTGCCCCAATTATACAATTATTGAATTTTCCCCTATATATACATTGGCAGACCAACCCAAAATGAAGCATCTATCAAACACAAAGAAAGCCCCTAGCCATGAAGGCCATCCTCTTAGTATCCCTAGCCTTTGCAGTTTTATTCACAGTAGGGCAATGCAGCAGAGGCACCTGCAAAGTTGAAGAGAAGGGCTCAACCCTGCAAGTCCTCCATGTTTACAGCTCTTGCTCTCCTTTTAGGCCGTCTGGTTCAGTTTCATGGGAGGAAAGCGTGGTCCAAATGCAGAGCAAAGACGAGGCGAGGCTGGAGTACTTGGGCAGCCTCGCCGCCGGCCGCAAGTCCGCCGTGCCCATTGCCTCCGGGCGGCAGATGATGCAGAGCCCCACCTACATTGTGAGGGCCAAGATTGGGACGCCGCCCCAGACCTTGCTTCTGGCCATGGATACTAGCAACGACGCCGCCTGGATTCCCTGCACCGGCTGCGCCGGTTGCCCCGCCTCCGCCCACTTCTCGCCGGTCAAGTCCACCACTTTCAAGAACGTCAGCTGTGGAGCTCCTCAGTGTCATCTGGTAAGTAGCTTTATGCTTTAATCTAACTATATTATTATCATCTCCTTCAAATAAATAACTTTTCTAAAATATTTTCAAGAAATTTGGATCAAATATTTATAACATTTTTTGCCATCTATGTAATAAATGATAGCATGAAATGATTGTCTTATCACTTATGACATTATTTATAAGGAAAATGGCACTTTTTCCCCATAAGTTATATACTTATAGCAGTTTTTCCCTTTCAATTATTTATGTAAGCATATTAGCCCCTCAATTATTTTAAAAGTGGTGATTTTTCCCCCAAATATATTAAATTGACATTTTTACCCTTAAAGTAAATATTTTATTTATTTTACTTCTCAACAAATTATTGCGTATATATAGCGATTACCACGGTTCGGTTCGAACTGAACCAGACACTATAGCAATCGAATTAAAAATTTTCAGTTATGATTCAGATCTAGAACCCAATATTTCAATTTCAATTTATTAAATTTAAGAATAAAAAAAAAAAACTGGATCATGAACCGTGAACCGACAGTTCCGGATCCAGTTCGCGATTTTGAACCGTCTTTATTTTAAAATAATCTAAATTCAACAATAAATGTATTTTATTTTTTCAGTTCGGAATATGAACCGGTCATTCCGGTTCGCGATTTTAATAAACTCTAAATATCGCGTTTTCATTATAAATTGTAATTGGAATATTTTGGTTTGGTTGCTATAGTATCTATTTGGTTTGAACCAAATTATAGTAATAATTTGTTGGAGAATAAAAATAAATGAAATATTTATTTTAAGAGTAAATATGTCCATTTAAGATTTCAGGGGGAAAAAGAGCCACTTAAATAATTGAGGTGGAAAAAGTGATATAAGTATATAACTTAGGGGGAAAAAGTGTCATTTTCCCTTATTTATAACATTTTTGTCAAAGTAACTTGTAACTTAATGACAATTATATAATTTTTCCAAATGTTCTAACTTTAGTGGAGGTATTAACTCTTTGTTTTTTTAATAGATTGAGAAAGTATGTATGGATCTTATAACAATATAAAATTGGTTAAATTATATTAATAACACACATATTATATATATTCATGTAAAAAAGAATAAAATATAATGTCTATTTTGTGAAATGAATGTTCATTTTTATAGTCGTACAAAGTTAGGTGATGATGGGACAACACAATTAAATTAGTCATATGAATTTGGTAATTATAACGTTATAAATTTAATTTTCAATGAGAGAAGTCTATTGGCTTTCTTATTTTGAATCGATCAATTATAAATAATTTAGAATGATTTATCATTCTTTTATCAATTAAGATTACAATGTGAAATTTATTCCCTTTGCACTCTTAAGAAATGATTGCAAATTTTCCTAGTAACCAAAAAAAAAAAAAAAAAAGTTGAGAGTAACCTCAATCAAGATGTTAAGAGATCCACGTTTGTAACCTAAGTTTAAATCTTTGTCTCTAAATATCCTAAGTTGTTTACTTTTTTGTGATTCTTTACTAACTAGAGTTACAATGCCAGATTTATAATTGTTGGATTTTCTCGTCATTAAAAAAAAAAAAAAGTTAGATGATCATCACTTTATGACAATTCCTTGGATGAATAATGTTGATGTTGATGTAAACTTTCAGATGCCAAAGTCTACGTGTGAAGGCGGCGCGTGTAGTTTCAACATGAGTTACGGCGTTTCTACAATAGCCGGAAACCTGTCCCAAGACACCGTGACACTGGGCACAGACGCCGTGCCGGGCTACACGTTCGGTTGCGTCCGGAGGGCCACCGGAAGCTCGATGCCGCCGCAAGGTCTCCTGGGGCTCGGCCGTGGGCCCCTCTCGCTGCTGTCCCAAACCCAGAGCCTCTACAAGTCCACATTCTCCTACTGCTTGCCCAGCTTCAAGTCCCCCAACTTCGCCGGATCTCTCCGATTGGGTCCCGCCGGCCAACCCCTAAGGATCAAGTACACCCAGCTCCTCAAAAACCCCCGGAGATCCTCCCTCTACTACGTCAACCTCGTCGGAATCAAGGTCGGCCGGCGAGTCGTCGATATCCCTCCCAGCGCATTGGCTTTCAACCCGGTCACCGGCTCCGGCACCGTCATCGATTCCGGAACGGTGTTCACGCGGCTGGTGGAGCCGGCGTACGTAGCCGTGAGAAACGAGTTCCGGCGGCGAATGGGGCGGAACACGACGGTGACGTCACTAGGAGGGTTCGACACGTGCTACACGGTGCCGGTGACGGTGCCGACCATAACTTTTATGTTCCAGGGGATGAACGTGACGCTGCCGCAAGACAACTTCTTGATCCACAGCACGGCGGGGAGCACCACCTGCCTGGCCATCGCCGCCGCGCCGGACAACCTCAACTCCGTCCTCAACGTCATCGCCAACATGCAGCAGCAGAACCACCGCATCCTCTTCGACGTCCCCAATTCAAGACTCGGCGTCGCCCGTGAACTTTGCAGCTAAACCGCCCGCCGGACGGCCGGAGTGTTATATTATATTATAACATATAATCATGCATGCATATCATATCATATCATATCACTGCTTTAATTAATTTTGCTAATTCAGTCGTGATCCAGAATTTGGTGTTTTGGATTGGAAATCGGTGAGATAATAAGTATTGGTGTTGGTGTTAGTGGGCAAGTTTAATTAATTTTATTAATTATGTTGTGATGAAGAATTTGATGTTTTGGATCGGAGACAGAATGAAGTGAGTAGGTACTAGGAATAGGATGTGGTTTTTGTGTCGTTGGAAAGAGGGAAATGAAGGCAGGGGGCATGGTGTGGGTCTTACGTTATGATGGTTTTGAAATTTGTGGAGTTTTAATTTGTGTGTCACGGGGTCGTCCGTCGTCGCAAATGCTTCCAAATAATAATAAATTTTTACGTACATTATTGTCACGGGTTTACCTACCCGGCCTGCCTGCGTTTTGAGCTTTGAAATTTTGTCGGTGAATTTCATGTTTGAAACATTTTTGTGAATTTTTTTTTGAAAAACAAAATTAAAATTATGCATTAAATCCAACAAAAGGATGTCCAGAATAAAAGTAGGTGGAGTGGCATACCACTCACCAATCTTAGAAACAGCCTACTTAGACAATGCACGGGTAGCACAATTTGCAAAACTTCTAGTGAAAATGAAGTTAACATTGCTAAATTACTTTCCAGCTTCTTTAATATCATAAATAATAATAAAACAGGTAACATGCAAAGTAGTAAAAACTAATTGAACATCTATTTCAATGTCCACTTAATCGATATTCATATCCTTTATCCAGCTTGGAGCTTCCCGGATACTTACAGCCTCCGATCCGCCACCTTCATTGAGTAGCACCCCGTCCACGGTACTGATTTAGCTGCTTTAATTTAAACGAACCCAAGCTATCACGAAGTATCCACCCAAAACTCATGCAACCACTTTCCTCGTCAACAGCAGTATCAACATTCAACTTCCATCTACCCGTTTCCGCCACCGTACCACCTTTCACTACCGACGTATTACCCATGCACAGTATTAACCACCCCTCCATTTCTGGCCTCTCGCCAAATGTTAAGGAAGGAAATGGCTGCATTAACAGTAAAAAATGCTGAAAATTATGTGCCATTCCAGAGAGCTTCATTTCTTCTTCTCCAAATACTCCAGCACACCATGGACAGTATGTAAGATTTTCCCTAATAATATATATTATATATTATATATATATATTATATATTAGGACCTTAATTAAGTGGTGCAAGTTGACTAGGCTTATTAAGTAGTCTGGTTGGACTGAATAACTAGAAGTTGTTAGTGAACCAGACTCCTAATATAATCCTGGATTGATGGGATACAGGGTGATGAATGTTAGCACATTCAGTTACGGTACTCAGACTGCTCAGTAGATACCAATACACCATCTAGGGTTCTGAGTCAGGTCTGAGCCAATACATGGCTAACGGTCTACCGTTACGAGACAACACAACAGGAACATCAACTATGGCTGGAGATGCACGGCTATCGCTTCCGCTCATACGAGGTCAGATCTCTCGTATACTATGGTTTATTATAGTTAGACTATTGTATATCTAACACAGTATCCGTAAGTCATCATTCTTTGAGTTAGTTTATTGCACATTATCTGACAATATAATAGGCAATGAATCAAAGTAACAAAGCAAACAAATATATAGTAAATTGCAATGAATTGAAATAGTGGAATTGGAATTAACTTATCTAATTGGAAGTAAACTTGTAGTTGGAAAATGAATTGAATCTTCCATCTACATCAACACATGTTTCTAAAATAGAAATAGCAATTGAATATAACTAGAACTTGTAATGAGAATTGAAATTGAAATAAAAATTGAAGTTGTAAATTTCCTGCTAGGGTTCTAAGAGTTGAAAAAATATATGAAAGTAATGTCTAACTCTAGATTATTACCAACTAGATATCTTCAATGAAAACTAAAGATGTTTGATGAAATTTTTATTAGACACTCATGAGTCATGAAAATGTATCTGTACATGTGTCTTAACTCTTAAGGGAGTTGAATGATCTTGAAAAAGACTTCTTTCTGGCCATTTGATGACATGCGTTGTCAAGTCACTTAACTCTCATTCTTCTTCCTGATTTGGTCACATTACTTGAGCTTAGTCTAAACTCCAATCCTCATTCACCTTTCCTAATATTTGTTACTTATTTGTTACAATTGCTATTCGTTTTAATTGTTTTGTCATTAGTCTATTTCTATATATCTTGCATTAAATGATCTTTCTTAGGGTTAGATTTCTATAGAAATTTTAGTACTTTGTGATTGAGAGAAACTTAAGCATACATCTCTCACCAATTCTCAATAGAATGACGTACAATTACTCACCTTAAGCAAAAATACTCTTCAACATATGACACCAACAAAGAGAATAATTGCAACATTCGATGACACAACGTCGTAAATGCAATGGGCACTGTCTTTCTTCATTACAATCCGATACAATTTCCTTTGCCAAAAATTGAAACCCCGTTTACTTCCGGTAAGAGGGAAATCTGATGAATTTCTCAAATGAAAAGCATTTAAAATAAATCCAAATATGAAGCCTTCAATTTCCTTCTTCACTCGAATCGACGATGGTGTTTTGAGAAAAAACGTAACGATCAGATGATAGAAATCGGAGAATTTAGCCGGCTAGAATTAGGGTTCAGTAGAGCAAGATTGTGAGAAAGGGATTTACCGTAGTAATTTACGTCTATAGTACATTATACTAGCCTTAATTTGTTTATCAATTTGTTTTTATTTTTCGTTTAAAAATAATGATTAATTTTTATCCGTGTAGAAACAATTATGTTACAATAAGAAATTGTAAAAATAAGAAAATTTTGAATCAGAAACATCTGATGGAAACTCAAGAAACGCTCTCGTCACCTCAATCTTCCGAGGATCTGGATCTCTTGGAGCGTAGCACCAAGAAATCCAAGAGGGAAAGGGCGAACGTAGACTTCCCACCTTTGGCGAGCCAGGAGATCATGATGGTGCAGGAGACGCCGGTTGATGATATGAGGGTGGAAACTGGTGTGATCCCTACGATGCAGACCTGCATGGGAACGCGATTGCCACAATTGCAGAATGCACCGCGTCCACAAGAAGGCCAAAACTGAACGTACGTGGAAAGCCTGACGGGTATGATTGCAGGTGATCCAACCAGATTGGACGACGTTGTAGATGCAGGTCCAGACCACGACACGCTGGTGGCAGAGGAAGATGATGATCCCCTTTGTTCAACCATCCGCTTGACGAAGGAGGAACTGGAGAAGATTCGAGCGCCGTGGAGGAAGTCTTTGATCATCAAGGTTATGGGGAGACGTGTTGGCTATGCTTACATGCTCTGGAGGCTCACATCGATGTGGAAACCAAAGAGCAGCATGGATTTGATCGCTTTACCCAACGAGTATTTTCTGGTAAGGTTCGAATCCGTAGATGACTTAGAATTTGCTTTATTTGAAGGGCCTTGGATGGTCCTAGACCATTACCTCATTGTTAAGCCATGGGAACTCGACTTCGATCCAATAAACGACAAGACGGAGAAGATGATCGTGTGGGCAAGAATCCCGTGTATTCCCATGGAATACTATGATTACATTTTTCTACGGAAGCTGGGAAGAAGGATTGGGAGGGCAGTTCGCGTGGATCAGGCTACTAGCATGGGATCCAGAGGTATGTTTGCTAGAATATGCGTAGAGATTGATATGTGCAAGCCAATTGTTTCTAAATTTACATATGAAGGAAAGGTGAGACATGTGGCCTATGAAGGGCTCCATTTGATCTGCTTCGCATGTGGGCGATACGGCCATGCAAAGGAAAGCTGCCCCTCGCTGAAAAAACCAGTGTCGGAAATTCAAACAGATGCAGAGGCAGGGAATGACGCTCCGGATCATGACCGTGCGACTGGACACCATGCGCAGTTGAAGGAAGCCGACGATCCGAAGATCCCTTTTGGATCGTGGATGATTGCACCTCAGCGACGTGGCAGACCGGTGGCAGCAGGACAGTCCAGAACGCCACGGGGTAGAAGTAGCCGAGGTGGTGGCAGCGCAGGTGGCCGGGGAAATTGGGACCTTGTGACGACAGCAATCGAAGCAGGTGGACTAGGTATCAAACGCATGCACGAGCTGAATTTGGCTTTTATGGCGAAACTGGGCTGGCGGCTTCTGACTGAAAGTGGAAGCCTATGGACAAAGGCAATCAACGCAAAATATAGAGAGTCGGAGGACTCACACAATATGCGACAAGGGCGGCGGAACGTCTCCAATGCTTGGCGAGGAATCTCAGCAGCTTGGACACCCATGTCCCAAAGAGTCTCATGTGTGGTCCGAAATGGTGCTACAACACGCTTCTGGATGGACAAGTGGATTTTTCCGGAACCACTGTTTGGGCAGCTCAAGACGCCTCTTCCTCTGCCAGAATTATATGGTATGGTTCGGGACTACTGGGATGAGGCAAGGGGATGGAAGTGGGAGTTATTAGAGCATGCCTTAACATATGAAGCCAAGGAAAGATTAGCGGGGAAAGTTTTAACGACATTGGATATGGACGATGAACCAGGATGGGGCTTAGAGATTAGTGGTAAATTTACTATACGTTCCATGTATGATACCCTGGTGGATAATCACGGCTACCCTACTGATGAGATATGGAGACGCATTTGGAGAATTCGTGCTCCTGCACGAGTTAATCTGTTTCTGTGGCTAGTACGCCATAAAAAGGTTATGACGAATGCAGAAAGAGCCAGACGAAAATTAACGGCTGACCCTTTTTGTTTCCTTTGTGCAGGTAAGATTGAGGACTTGCAACACTTATTTCGAGACTGTTCGGCGGTGACGGGTCTCTGGGAAGCAGTCATCCCCAGAAGCACGTATGCGAAGCTGAACGCCCTTCCTTGGGACCAGTGGTTAGAAGTCAACCTTGACGGCAATATAAGATATGGTTTTGATGAAGATTGGCAAACCCGTTTTGGGGCGAGGATGTGGTGGATATGGCGTTGGAGAAATGAAGGGATTTTTAATAACCGTTCTCTGAGGATGCAGGAAAAACTCGAGTGGCTCGCAAAGTATGATGTGGAAGTCAAGGGGGCTTTCAACAAACGTTTACACCCGGGGACTGGGGCCATGCAGACGGCCAATGAGCAGGCTGGATGGAAGAAACTGGATAGAGGATGGCATAAGCTTAACATTGATGGTAGCTGCAAAGGACAAGGGACGGCTGGATGTGGCGGCCTGATCCGAGATGAAGCCGGAATTTGGTGTGCAGGTTTTTCGTCCAACATCGGGCGGTGTCATGTGCTCGAAGTGGAAGCATGGGGAGTGTTCCACGGTCTACGCCTGGCAAGGCAAGAAGGCATACATAAGCTCATGGTAGAAAGTGACTCTAAGCAGCTCATTGACAGGATACACAGGAGTCAAAAGACAGGT